GATGGCATGGCACACACCTTGGAAGGCTGAGTCAAGAGGCTGGCCACAAGTTCAAGGCCTGCCTGAACTACAAAGTGAGACCCAATCTAAAAAAAAAAAAAAAAAAAAAAAAAAACATATGAAGCTAAACAAAAAGCAGGGAAAGGTTCAAATAATTCCCCAAATTAGCTATTCTATTGTTTCAAAAATATTTTAATATATGCTAATCTGCCTGGTGTTTCATAAAGGGGCCAAAGAGCATATGCTAAAGAGAGAGACAGCTATCTAATAAATGGTACTGGGAAACCTGCCTACCCTCCTACAGAGCACTGAAACTAACCATCTCTCAACCTGTATTTAAATCACATTAAAATGGATCAAAGACAGAATCTTTGAAACTGCTGGTGAAACACTTAAAACCAGAGGCCTATGAAGGACTTCCTAAAAAGAACTCCCACAGCATAAGAAATAATATCAAGAATCAATAAACAGCTTCCTCTGGAAGTTGCTGCAAGAGGTAGCATGGTGGCTGGTGTGGTCTTTGTTGGGTTCTGCCAGGTGTACTAGAGTCAGGGCCAGAAAGTGCAAAAGGTGATGGTGCAGCCCAAAAACCTCATCTTCAGATACTTGCAGAGCAGATCCTGGATCCAGGGTTGGCTGTATGAGCAACGAATATGCGGATAGAGGGCTGTTACTGGTTGTGACAAGTACATGAACCTTTTATTAGATGATGCAGAAGAAATCCATTCTAAAACAAAGTCAAGAAAACAGCTGGGTTGGATCATGCTGAAAAGAGATAACATTACTCTGCTACAAAGTGTCTCCAACTAGAAATGATCAATTAATTCAAACAGCAGGGAAGGGAGGCAATGGCAATTATGATGATGTGTAAAAAAGAGTCATTTAAGGGGTTTGCCCTGTGAGTGTTTGTAAAACATTTGTTTATATTGTTTTGACTATACTTACGGTTTTACTGAAGGCAAATAAGTGCAGAGTTGTTTTTATTACCAACAACAACAAAAAGAATCAATAAACAGGACTGCATCAAATTCAAAAGTTTCTGCACAACAAAGGAAATAATCAAGAGAGTAAAGAGAGAACAGATTGGGCAAGACAGTTTTCCAGCTACTCTTCTGACAAAGGACTAGTAATACAGTGCTCCCTCACTTATCGTGGAGCTAATGTTCCAGACACCCCTGGGATAAGTGAAAATCAGCAAAGTAGTGACCTAATATTTTAGTATTCACATATATTTTAAGGCTTTATAAACCCCACACTCTTATAAACCTTTTGCACACTTTTAAAACACTTCAATGTTCTTAACCATTTACTAAACTCGTAAACCTATGTAATTTTAACAACATGCATAAGCTGTACAGTATTGCAAAATCCCACAATACAATGAAAAGGCCATGATAAATAATTTAGATTAACATTTTTTGAAAACCCACGAAACAGTGAGTCTGCGAAAGCCAAACCATGAAACAGTGAGGGACTACATGTGGCATATACAAATGTGACAGTGAATCGACTGTGTGAACCTGAGTTAAGAAATGCCCAACCAAATTGGATCCACATAGTTCTAGGTTTGGATGAGGGCATTTCCTGAAGACTCCCTGCCATTTACTGGGTATGAGTGGCACCAACTAATGCCTTGCCACCTGAATGGGATAAAAAGGAATGAAGAAGGGCAGGCGCTTCTGTTTCTTCAGAAGAGCTCCAGGCTTCACCTTCACT